CATCCTCCTCCTCCTCCTGTTCCCGCTCCTCCTCTTTGCACTCCTCCTCGTCCTCCTGTTTCTTCTTCTCCTCCTCCTCCGCCTCCTCCGCCTTCTCCTCCTCTTCCTCCTCCTCCTTCTCCTCCTCCTCCTTCTCCTCCTCCTCCTTATACTCTTCCTGCTTTGATCCCTCCTCCTCAGCACCCTCCTCCTTCTTCTCCTTCTCCTACTCCTCCTTCTTCTTCCTCCTCCTTCTCCTCCTCCGCCTCCCCCTCATCATCCACCAATCCTGTCCTTATAAATAATCTCTTCCTGTCGCACCCCGAGGCCGGTCGAAAGGGCGTCCCGGGCGTTTCGCCTGAGACTTCCTCCCCGCTTATGACCCTGAAGCTATAAGGTCGACAACGGCTTCACAGATGGAGGCCGGGTCGTTTTCAAATGTGGCTCTCGCCTCAGCGCCGCGCACACTGGTTTCAAACATGTGCCAGAGTTTTACGGATTGAGGGCGGTCCATTTTCAAAGCGTGGCTCTCGCCTTAGCGCTGCGCACATTCCTAATAAACATCGCAAGAGTTTCACGGATTCCCATGGTCAACGCACCAGAAATGGTGTTTTGGAATTACTCCGACGGTAGGACCCCACATGAGAATCTGTTTAGCTTACCCTTTGCCCTTTCCTCCTCCCCCTGGCAGGCACCCTCTCCTCTCGCTCCCTGCACTGCCCTCTCTTCCCCCTTCTATTTCTCTTCCTCCTCCTCTTTCTCCTCCTCCTTCTCCTCCCCCCCCTCCTCCTCCTCCTCCTCCTCCTCCTCCTCCTCCTCCTCCTCCTCCTCCTCCTCCTCCTCTCCTCTCCTCCTCCTCCTCCTCCTCCTCCTCCTCCTCCTCCTCCTCCTCCTCCTCCTCCTCCTCCTCCCTCCTCCTCCTCCTCCTCCTCCTCCTCCTCCTCCTCCTCCTCCCTCCTCCTCCTCCTCCTCCTCCTCCTCCTCCTCCTCCTCCTCCCCTCCCTCCTCCTCCTCCTCCTCCTCCTCCTCCTCCTCCTCCTCCTCCTCCTCCTCCTCCTCCTCCTCCTCCTCTTCCTCCCTCCTCCTCCTCCTCCTCCTCCTCCTCCTCCTCCTCCTCCTCCTCCTCCTCCTCTCCTCCTCCTCCTCCTCCTCTCTCGCCACCTCCTCCTCCTCGTCGGCCTCCCCCATGCCCCTTCCCTCCTCATCCCCCTGCCTTTTCTCCATGTGCACCTCCCCTTCTCCCTCGTCGGGGCAGGCAAATCCATTTTCCTCAGCGCCGTCGCCGCCTCGGCCAGCGCGCGCGCGTTTGCCGACGGCTAGATCGCGAAGCCGTCGGGACAAACCTTCGGGTTGGGCCGTTGAGACAACCTCGCAGGCCGCTGGGGCGTGGGAGCTAGCCGTTGGGACAACCCCGCGGGCCTCCAGGCGCGCGCCGCGGCGCTCAGGCGGGGGGCAGCATGAAGCCCAGCTCTGCCGCGAGCTGCTCCGCCTCAGCCCTGGAGTCCACCGCTCTCTTGTCGAACTCCTCGAGCGCCTTCCGCAGGGACGCCGGCGGCCCGCGCTCCAGGAACTCTCGCGCGGGCGGCCGCAGGATCAGCATGTTCCGCATGCATGTGGCGCGGGAGAACATGACGTAGAGGTGCAGCCACCACACATCGTCCGACATGCCCGCGCAGCCAGCGTCCTCATCCCTGGCGCAGTCGATGGTGACGCCCTTGCGCAGCGTCTGGCCCTGCGACAGCGTGGAGGTCAGGTAGGACGCGTGCGTCAGTGTGAATCCCGAGCGGCGCACAGTGTGCGCCCCCGAGCTTTGCCACGTGAACTCCTGCTCGCCGGGCCTGAACATGAGCAAGCTCCTCGCCCGCGTTTCGGCCTCGCCGTCGTCGGCAGCGCCATCGGCGCCCTGCTGCAGCACCTCGGCGACCTCCTTGTAGATCGGGGACTCCTGGAAGCCGTGCACCTGCAGCCAGATTCCCTGCGGTAGGTATCGGGGGCAGAAGAGCTGGCCCGGCGCGCGCTCCTCGTAGTCCCGCTCGTCGTCTGCGTGAAACTCGAAGGACACGATGGTGGCCCGTTGCTCCTGCACGAGCCCCAACTTCTTCTTCAGCTCCTCCTGCACGGCCGTGAACCGGACCTCCATGCCGACGTGTGCCGGTAAGACGCCGTGGATGTCCCCCGTCTTGTGCATGTTCGGGACGTTCAGGAGGCGCTGGCCTGCGTCTGGGTCGCCTTGAATCGTGCCGCACTCGTCTACGGCCTGCAGGAAGACGAGGGGGGCGCCGAGGCGCCGCGCGTCGCGACGAGCGCGCGTGTTGATCCACCTCGCCAGCGTCTCCAAGTAGATGCCCATGCCGTAGCCGAGCCGGAAATTCTCGTGCTGGTGCCGTGGGTCCAGGACTAGACTTCCTCCATATTCAGGTCTCAAGAGCCCAAAAGTGACGACAGTTGCACGTTGCGGATGACCCGCTCGGATTCGAACATGAAGCGCGGGCCCCATAGGGAGGGGGCTCCCGCCTGAGAATTCCTCACAATTCACTCACAGAGGAGGCTCCCGCCTGATACTTCCTCCATATTCAGGTCTCAAGAGCCCAAAAGTGACGACAGTTACACGTTTCGGATGACCCGCTCGGATTCGAACATGAAGTGCGGGCCCCATAGGGAGGGGGCTCCCGCCTGAAACTTCCTCGCAATTCACTCCAATTCAGGCCTCAAGAGCCCAAAAGTGACGACAGTTACACGTCTCGGATGACCCGCTCGGATTCGAACATGAAGTGCGGGCCCCATAGGGAGGGGGCTCCCGCCTGAGACTTCCTCGCAATTCACTCAATGACGAGGCTCCCGCTCGAGACTTCCTCCATATTCGATTCTCAAGAGCCCAAAAGTAGACGAGGCTCCCGCCTGATACTTCCTCCATACTCAGGCCTCAAGAGCCCAAAAGCGACGACTGTTACACGTTTCGGATGACCCGCTCGGATTCGAACATGAAGCGCGGGCCCCATAGGGAGGGGGCTCCCGCCTGAGACTTCCTCGCAATTCACTCATATTCAGGTCTCAAGAGCCCAAAAGTGACGACAGTTGCACGTTGCGGATGACCCGCTCGGATTCGAACATGAAGCGCGGGCCCCATAGGGAGGGGGCTCCCGCCTGCGACTTCCTCACAATTCACTCACAGACGAGGCTCCCGCCTGATACTTCCTCCATATTCAAGCCTCAAGAGCCCAAAAGTGACGACAGTTACACGTTTCGGATGACACGCTCGGATTCGAAGATGAAGTGAAACTTCCTTGCAGTTCACTCCTATTCAAGCCTCAAGAGCCCAAAGTGACGACAGTTACACGTTTCGGATGACCCGCTCGGATTCGAACATGAAGTGCGGGCCCCATAGGGAGGAGGCTCCCGCCTGAGACTTCCTCGCAATTCACTCACAGACGAGTTCCCGCTCGAGACGTCCTCCATATTCAGGCCTCAAGAGCCCAAAAGTGACGACAGTTACACGTTTCGGATGACCCGCTCGGATTCGAACATGAAGCGCGGGCCCCATAGGGAGGGGGCTCCCGCCTGAGACTTCCTCGCAATTCACTCATATTCAGGCCTCAAGAGCCCAAAACTGACGACAATTACACGTTTCGGATGACCCGCTCGGATTCGAACATGAAGTGCGGTCTCCATAGGGAGGGGGCTCCCGCTTGAGACTTCCTCGCAATTCACTCACAGACGAGGCTCCCGCTCGAGACGTCCTCCATATTCAGGTCTGAAGAGCCCAAAAGTGACGACAGTTGCACGTTGCGGATGACCCGCTCGGATTACCAACATGATCTGCGGGCCCCATAGGGAGGGGGCTCCCGCCTGAGACTTCCTCACAATTCACTCACAGACGAACTCCCGCCTGAGACTTCCTCCAGGTGGGTATGTGAACGAGTGAGCGTGTGACAGAGTGCGAGTGATGATGATGATGTTGATGCTGATGCCGATGATGATGCTGATGATATGCTGCTGATGATGATGATGATGATGATGATGATGATGATGATGATGAGTATGTGAGTGACTGAGCGTGTGAGAGAGCGCGAGTGATGATGCTGATGTTGATGATGAGAGAGTGTGAGTGAGTGTGAGTGTGAGTGAGTGGTGATGATGATGAGTGAGTGAGTGAGTGTGCGAAGGCAGAAAAGGAGAGGGGGTGGGGTGAGTGTTCCTGCGCGGGGTGTGCAGAGAAAACAAGAACCCCACTTTGGATGTGGGGAAAAACTCAGGGTTATGAGGGTGCAACAGTTACAGTCGGGGCGTTGACCCAAGGAACCCTCAATACGGAACGAGGCCCCTTTCTTCCGTAAGTGAAACTTCGGTTTCCCATCGAAGACCTAAAGACAACCTGAGGCAAACTGTGAAACAAGTAAGGAACACGGAGCCCCTCCCCAACGACAAGGGTTCCTTCTTCAGCACCCCGACTGTACGTTGATTCGCGGTGTTGAAGTCCCAGGAGCGGCGTTCTGGCACGATTCGGGATCGCCAAGACGCAAAAGTCAGGTTGATCCGTGGCGCTGGGGTTCCGAGAACAATGTTTTCGCATGCTTCAAGGTCTTCAAGCGGTTGTCTTCCAACGAGGCACTTCCCTCCGTGGACATGAACCCTTGCAGGGGCCGCTGACGAGGGAGCTTGGAGGGGAGGTTATTCCAACATCGTTGATGACTCTTTCTTAGGTTTACACTTGTCCTCATTCTCCTCCTCCTCCTCCTCCTCCTCCTCCTCCTCCCCCCCTCCTCCTCCTCCTCCTCATCTTCCTCCTCCTCTTCCTCCTCCTCCTCCTCTTCTCCCCCACCACCACCACCATCACCACCACTTCTTCCTGCTCCCTGAACTTCCTCATCCCTGCTGCTCGCTTTCTCTCATAATCCTCGTCCGCCCTCCTCCCTCCTTCATGACCATCCTCCAGCTCATTCCTCGCCCCTCCTCCCATCTGCGCGTCTTGCGCAGTTCCGCTCCCCTCCTCCTACGTCCCCTGCTGCTGGCGACCCTGCCGCCTTTGGCATCACGGAGGCTGTTGATGTCTCCCCCCTGCAAATCTACGAGGGCGATGTCCAGGAGCTCCTCGCAGCTGGCGCGGCAACTGGAGAATGGCAAAAAGGAGCAGCACTAGGCTACGATGTCAAGGAACACCCGGCCCGCCAGGAAGGACAGCAGGACGCGCTTGGCAAACAAGCTTTCAAAAAGAGCACCCAAACCACGGACAACAGGCAAGCCTGCGCACTCGAAACCATCGCAGTTGCCCCGGCAAGGCTTAAGGTCGCGCACCAGCAGCTTCTGGGGGTTCTTCTCCTCGTCCTCCTCCCTCCTCCCTCCTTCCCTCCTAACGCCAAATGCCCCCCTGGACCTACCAAGTTCAGATTGAGGTTGTGACGCTGCAGGGGGCTTGAAAGGACAGAAATAGTCGAACCCCCACATCATCACCCAGACTGCAAACAGAATTGACTTCGGGGGTGGGGGGGTGATCAAATCCCCCTTCAGCGTATAAGGGTTCGAAATAATATTGTCCATCCTCTGACCCCCCCATGCTCGCGCGGCACCCCCACGAGGTCCCAAGAGACCCCCAAGAGGCCCCCAGGAAGCCTGAAACGGGGGCGCGCAACCATGGATTAGCGATCCATGGATTTGGCGCGCGGTCGCCAAATCCATGGATCGGGGGAGGTGCCCTCCCCAAAAGACGGCCGGTGCCGCCTCGCTCGGCGGCGGGAATCCGCGATCTCTCATGGAAACGGGGCCCGTCGCTAATCCACGCCCCCTTAATCCATGTGTGAAATCGCCTCACTAAAGGGACCCCCAAGAGGCTCCCAAGAGGCCCCCAAGATGCTCCCAAGAGGCCCAAAACTTCCCCCATGAGGCCTACGAGCGCGCTCCGAAAAGGCCCCACGAAGCATCACTGAGCACTCTGCCCCGCGTCAGCGTCGTCGTCGCAGCCGCCGCCGCCGCCGACGCGGTCGTCGTCCCCCTTCGGGGTCGGCGGCGCCGGCCGCAAGGCCTTCCCAGTACTGTCCATCCACTGTCCCCCCAATGCTCGCGCGACACGCAGACGTGTGCGGCGCCCGAGAGCGCGCCCCGAGCCCAAGCCTGCCTTCCAGTCAGGGCGGGGGCTCTGTCTTTCTGCCAGCAGGCCTTCCTGGCCGCAGACCGCGGCCAGCGTGACCCCACAGCGGGGCCGAAAGAGCATGAGATAACAAACGAAAAATCAATCCTCCCCCCTCCGTGAAGAACGGCGGGCGGCCTTCTCGCCGTCGTGGACCATCTTCTCGAGCTTGGCGAACTGGCGGCCCCGCTCCAGGCGCTTCCGCTCCTGCCAGGCACGAGGGAATTTCGGGAACGAGGGAGGAGGAGGAGAGGGAGGGGGAGGAGGAGGAGGAATAGGAGAACAAAAAGCTCGGGGCACTGCTTGTAGTGACCAAGGGGGGGGCGGCTCGACGTGGCCTTCACTCTAGCCCACCTTGAGCACCCTTCGGTCGGCGGGACTCGGCTTGGAATTCTGCGCGGCGCTGGCCTGGGCCCGCATGGGCCCTGGTGTGCTGTTGTGGGCCCCTGAGGGCATCGGGCCCCCGTCCTGGGTCGTGCACCGAATGCAGATCCGGTAGGGTCAGTGCAGCACAACTCCTCAACCCCATGTGATTCAGCGCCTGGTCGTCGTCATCATCATCATCATCAGCATCAGCATCAGCATCAGCATCAGCATCAGCATCAGCATCAGCATCATCATCATCATCATCATCATCATCATCATCATCATCATCATCATCATCATCATCATCATCATCATCATCATCATCATCATCATCATCATCATCATCATCATCCTCAGCATCGTCATCATCACCATCATAATCCGTAGAATCCTCATCATAGTCAGCATCATCGTCAACATCAGCAGCAGCATCACCAGCAGCACCATCATAATTATCGTCATCATCATCCACATTATCATCATCATCAGCAGCATCATCAGCAGCAGCAGCAGCATCTTCATCATCAACATAATCACCACCAGCATAATATCGCCACGAGTATCAGCAACAGCAGCATCATGAGCAGCAGCATCATCATAGTCCTCAGCAACACCAGCAACAACCACAACAACAGCAGCAACAGCAGCAACAACAGCAGCATCATCGTCAACATCAGCATTGTCATCCTCATCCTCATCATCATTCCCATCCTCACCACCACCACCATTAGAATCACCAACAATGACAACATCATCCATCTCAACATCCGCATCGACATCAACATATGCATCAACACCAGCATCATCAGCAGCAGCATCCACATCATTACCACCATCATCATCACCATCATCGCTATCGATATCGTCATCGACATTGTCGGCATCATCATCCTCCTTACCAGTATCATCACCACAATCATCAACAACATCAGAAGCAGCAACAGCAGCAGCATCAGCAGCATCATCATCAATAACATCATCAGCAGCAGCATCAGCATCATCAGAATTACCATCATCATGAGTATAATCCTTATCCTCTACCTCATCCTATTCATCCTCACGCTGCCTCATCCTCCTCATTTCCCTCCTCATCCTTCTCATTATACCCCAGCTGCGCCATGCATGACCCTCCTCTTCATTATGCCTCCTCCTCCTCCCTTCACCAGATCTCCTCACCACCACCAAACACTCCCGCACCCCGTGGACGGGTTGTCCTCGTCGCTCTTGACGAGCTTTTCCTCCTCCACCTCCTTGAGCTTGCGCCACTCGACTAAAATCTTGTCGGTCTGGGCCACGTCCCAGGCCTCCAAGGCCTTCTGCGCCTCCTCCCCGGTGGCCAGGTCGAAGGGCCGCTGCCCCGCACGGTCCTTCCGCCTCGGGTCCGACCCGGACTCCAGCAACAGGGCGATCGCCTCCGCGTTTTCTTTTCCCGCAAAGAGAAGCACCTGCCGACAGCCACGCACATCTCACACGTCAGATTGCATTGCGAAGCTACTCGCATTGCCGCTCAACTCGTGAATCCAGGCCAGTCGAGGAGGAGGGAGGACGAGGAGGAGGAAGAGTGGGCAGGGTGATCGCCTCCATGTGCCCGTTGAAGGCCGCCCTGTGGAGGGGCGTGCGCCCGTCGTGCTGGGCGCCGTTGGGGTCCGAGAGCCTGAAGCTGCTTTTGTTCAACCCGGCGGGCCAGTGGTGATAAGCAACGGACGATGGCACCACAGCCGATGGCACCACGGCAACGGTGCGGCAACAGGTCTGGAGCGCAGCGCGCTGTCCCGGCAATGTGGCCGATACCCCCCCCGAGGGGCTGCGAGGCTGCGCATCGCAGGCATCACCCGCGGGCTTGAAGGGGGGGCCCGAGAGCCTGAAGTTGTCCAGCAGGTGGCGCATGACCTCGGTGTGCCCCTGGACGGCGGCCTCCGACAGCGCCGAGGCCATGCGCCCGTCCAGCGCGTACGCGTCGGCCCCCTGCTCCAGGGCCTGCGACGGAAGGGGGAGGAGGGGGAGGAGGGGGAGGGGGAGGAGGAGGAGGAGGAGGAGGAGGAGGAGGAGGAGGAGGAGGAGGAGGGGGAGGGGTTGGTTGGTTGGTTGGTGACCTCCCAGCGAGGTGGCATGTTGGAACTGCGGGCACAGCCCCTTTAGTAGAGAGCCGCGGGGCCCAGGCCGGCGACCGACAGCAACCCCACAACGTCAGCCCAGGGATGGATGAGACCACTCTCGGGAAGCAGATCTGGGACAAATGGGGGGGCACGAGGACTTGCATGCCACCGTGCCCATACCTCCCTCAGCCTCCCAGGCTCCGTCCGGAGAGGTGCCACGCCCAGGCCCAAAAGGCAAACGCTAGATTAAGGACTTCCTGGGGAGGGGGCAAAGGCGATCCTCCGGCAGGGATCCTCACCCGGTCTCGACTCCGCCCAACGCCAGCGCACGACGTAGGTGCGAGGCTAGCAGGATGGAGGGAGAGAGGATCAGTCCCACAAGGGGGGATTTTTCAAAAAAAGCGCCGCCTCCCGCTCCAAGAAGCATCCGAGCGATGCTGCTTCAGAGAAGCCTGCGTCCTCTGGCGAAGTGCTCAAAAGGACACGGGCGCAATCTTCTCTAGATTCGGGTTGCGCGCTCCCCCGGGCCTGCCAGAAGGCTGCACGCATCTGCTGCGTGGCCCTGCAGACACTGACACTGCTACTGAGAGGAGGAACGAGAACACATCCCGAAGGGGAGGGGCGAAGCTCATCCTGCAGACCAGCCCACCCCAGCCCAGACCAGCTCCCGAGGTCCACACAAACGTCCCCGATCGTCGCCAGAAAATCCACCTCCCCGCACCCCATCGCGCCTCTCCAGGCAATGCACCCGCCACGCTCCGCGCACCGGGGAGGAAGCGCGGGGAAAGGGGATTCCTGCAACGGCCAGAAGATTTGCGCAGACCTCAGGAGCACGGCCGGAAGGGAGGGAGGGGAGGAGGAGCAGCCTCTCATCTCCATCCCACCTCTATGGAGCATCCACAGAGCTCCCAAGCCCCGCCAAACCCCGACTCGACCCGAAGTGGGAGGGAGAGGGAGGGAGCGGGGGAAAGAGGAAGGGCGGGGGGGGAGGGAGGGAGGGAGGGAGGCAGGAAGGGAGGGAGGAGAGAAGACCACCCCGACAGAGAACAGGCCCCCGGGGCGCCCGAAAATGCGGGTCCGAGAGGGCCCCGAAGGTCCCCCAGCACGCCCGAAAATGGGAGAAGGAGGAGGAGGAGGTGGAGAAGCAAGAACAGGAGGAGGAAGAGGAGGAGGAGGAGGAAAGGAGGGGGAGGGGGAGGGGGGGGAGGAGGAGAAGGACCTGCGACAGAGGAGGAGGAGGAGGAGGAGGAGGAGGAGGAGGAGGAGGAGGAGGAGAAGGGCCTGCGACGGAGGGGGAGGAGGAGGAGGAGGAGGAGGAGGAGGTGGAGGAGGAGCAGGAGGAGGAGGAGGAGGATGGAAGCACTCCCCCAGAACGACCCGAGAGCTCGGCTCGCCGTTCCTGGCCCCGCTCGTCCAGGGCAACGACTTCTGCTGCCCCTCGACTCGCGCTGGAGCGTCCGCGACTTGCTCCAGGTGCCCCTGGAGGTCTACAGTGAAGGGGCCCTGGGACACACACATAAATAGACACAAATAACAGGATTCCCCATAGTTTCCCATCTGTATTGTTGTTTGTCTCCCCCCCCACTTCCCATATTTTCTTATATTTTCTTGGGAATCAACGATTAATTGTGACTGTGTGTTTTTGTTCCCTCCTGAGCTTAGACTGCCCTGATCTACCTGGATTTGCATAGATTCCTCTGGACGTATCTCGATCGACCTGGATTTGCCTCGGCTTATCTGGCCTGATTCGCGCAAGTCGATCGGGAAGAAGTCGTCAAGCCCTGCGTTCCCGAGAACGCCCCATCCTCACCCAGGGCGCAAAGGAGACCACGCACAGACGTTTTCGCGCCGCCTCGCGGCCGCCGGGGATCCCACGGATCGATCCGGCCCGAGGACGCACCGCACACGAGGTACCCCGACGGGCCTTCTTCAGCCCGTCCAGGTCCCCGTCGAAGGCGCACTCGAGGAGTTCGGTGTCCAGCTTCTGCTGCTTCACGTCCCGCTCCAGCCTGTTGGCACGCCCGGCATGGGTAAGGAAAAATGGCAAAACACCCAACAGCAGGTGCTGTCCAAATCCGACAGCCGCTGTTGAGCAGGCGACCTCTTGTCTCAAATGGACAGCGCCTGCGGCGACGCCGGTAGCGAGTCCTGCTCAAAATGAGCAGGACCGCTGTCAATATTCGTCTCCGTTCTGTCCGTACCCATCTCGATCATGCCGATCTACACGGCATCTCCAAATGGGTCCCTGGACCCTTCCTGGGGTCCAAACGCACCAGTTTCCCGAGCTGCGGCCAGCCGGGACGACGAGGAAGCCCCTCATCACCACGACTGGTTGCAGCTCGAATAGACACCGTCCGCGGCGATACCAACAGCGATTCCTGCTCAAGGTGGACAGGAACTGCTGTCGGTCTTCGTCCCCGTTCTCTCCGTACCCACTTCGATCGCACCGACTCGTGAACCGTCGCGACCGTGATCTCTTCCTCATCCTCACTTGTTTCTCCTTCTCCTCCTCCTCCTCCTCCTCCTCCTCCTCCTCCTCCTCCTCCTCCTGCTCCTCCATCCCTCGTCCTTATGGATGACTCCTCCGTGTCGCACCCCCAGGCATGTCGGTAGGGCGGGCCGGCCGTTGTGCCTGCGACTTACTCACCACGTATGACCCTGAAGCTTGAGGTATGCAACAGTTTCACGTGGAGAGCGGGTCGTGTTCAAATTGTGGCTCTGTTCAAATTGTCGCTCTCGCCTTAACGCCGCGCACATACGTCTTAAAAGTTCGCAGCTGTTTCAAGGAGATGGAGGACGGTTCCTTTTCAAAATGCGGCTCGAGCCTTCGCGCCGTACACATTCGTACCAGTTCCAAGGATGGAAAACAGATGGTTCTCAAAATGAGGCTCTCGCCATAGCGCCGTGCACGTTCGTTTCCAAAGTTTGTAATCAAGGATTCGTATGGCTAACCACCCAGGAAGTGTGTTCTGGCACGCCTTGAAATCGTCTGGACGCAACAGTCACGCTGATTAGTGGTGCTGGTGTTCTAGCAAGGTTTGGAACTGTCAGGGCAACAATCACGTTGATCCGCGGCTCTGAAGTCTCAAGAACGGTTTTGGCACGATTGAGGACTCTCAGACGATTGCCTTCTAATGTGCCACTTCCCGTAACCAACATATATTTTTGGTAGGGGCCTGTGAAGAGGGTACTTGTTTACTGCAGCATCGTTGATGCGTCTCCTCCTTCTTATAATCATCAGCAGCATCAGCAGCATCGTCGTCATCAGCATCATCATCAGCAGCAGCATCGTCATCATCATCATCATCATCAGCAGCAGCATCATCATCCTTGATGGGGTCAGGCAAACATCAACGAAGAAGCTGCTGCGTTCTTCCTCCTCCTCCTTCTCCTCCTCCGCCTCCTCCTCCTCCGCCGCCGCCTCTTCCTGTCTTGGCTACACGCCAGAGTGACCCCAGGCAAGAGTTGTTTATTTTTCCCCCGGTTCTCTTAGGGATCTCGGGTGCTCCAGGAGCGCTTCGGGCCTCGGACAGCGTGATGCAGCCACCCTCCCGTGGCAGACGACCCAACGGATCGCAAGACGAGAACGGAGCACTCCTCGCGGCGGGGGGTCGGGCAAGACGAGATGAGTCCCGCCCAAGACAAAAAGGGGGGCGCCGCCGGCGCCGCTTCGTCAGGGCACGTGCCACCCCGGCCCCCGTCCGACATAGGAAGGCACCAACTATACACCAACACCGATCCTGGCCAGGATCACCCTGGGCCCAGGATTGGTGTATACGCCCTCCTGCCTTGCGCAAGAAGGCATATACACCGATCCTGGGCCCAGGGTGATCCTGGGCCAGGATCGGTGTTGGTGTATAGTTGGTGCCCTCCGTCCGACAGGCTCCCACCCCAGGCACGAGTGACCTTCGGTGCGCGGCTTCACCGGCGGCGCGGGTTGGCCAAACCCAAGCGCAGGATTGCACGAAGGATTGCAAAAAAAACCTTCGTTTTTTTGCAATCCTTCGTTTTTTTGCAATCCTTCGTTTTTTTGCAATCCTTCGTTGCAATCCTTCGTTCGAGTGACCTTCGGTGCGCGGCTTCACCGGCGGCGCGGGCTGGCCAAACCCAAGCGCAAAACCCGAGGCTATATCTCTCTTAGCCGAAGGGTCACTCCTTGCGCGCCGTCGACGGTCGGGCTCCCTCCCGCCGAGCCTCGGCCTCTCGCCGCCCGCCCACACGGCGTCCCCGGCGCCGCCCGCGGCGGCGACGTCGAAGGCGGCGACCTCTGAAGGGGCCCTGGGACACACAAATTCGCCGGCCCAACGGGCCAGAGGCGTGCTAAGATCTCCGGTAACTGGTTAACAATTCTCTAGTTCGCGCGCGCGGGGCGGCCCCTGGGGGTCCACGGACGAAAAGTACCCCGGCAAGGTCCTGAGAGAGTCCCGGGAGGAGTCCCCCAGAGCGCTCCAGGAGCGCTCCATGAGCGCACCAACAGGGCTCCGAGACGTCCCCGAGAGCCCCAAGCAAGGCCAAGAGGCCCCCAAGAGGCCCCCAAGATGGTACACGAGGGGTCCGACATGCCACAAGATCGCTCCAAGACGCCCAAGATAGCCCCCAGACGCCCCAAGAGGCCTCCAAGAGCACTCCCAAGAGGGCCCCCGGAGGCAAAATTCATTGTTTTTCCTTAGGTGTTTGAGAGATTTTGGAGCTTCCACCTTTTCGGTTCCCGACGCCCCAAGACGGCCCCAGAGGCCCCCAAGATCGCCCCAAGAGGGCCCAAGAGGCCCCCAAGAGGGCCCCAAGATGGCCCAAGAGGGCTCGAAGACGGCCCAAGAAGCCTCCAAGACGGTCCAAGAGGGCCCCAAGAACACCCCCAGAGGGGCCCCAGAGAGGGAACACGAAACAAAATTTCGAGCCCTCGGCCCTAAGAAGCCCCTACGAGGCCCCAAGAGGCCCCTAGAGGCCCCAAAAGGCCCCCACGAGGCCCTCAGGAGGCCCCCAAGAGTCCCCCAAGCGGCCCCAGGAGGCCCCCCAAATGCCCCCCCGAGCGCCCCAGGAGTCCCCCAAGCGGCCCCAGGAACCCCCAAAGCGCCGCATTGACACCAGGCCCTCGGGCAAACGGCAGACATGAGACCGTATGGGCCGGCGGAATGAGCGAAGCGATTAAATAAATACACACAAGTAACAGGACTCACTACATATTTTCCTATATTTTTGGGGTTCCTGTCTTCCCCCCCCCACCTTTTTCCTACATTTTTGCATATATTTTTCCTGGGGGTCGACGATTAACTGTGTCTGTGTGTTTTTGTTCCCCCCTGAACCTTGTCGGCCAGGAACGCCGGCGGCCGCTCCTGCGGGCGGGCGCGCGCGAGGGAGCGGGGCGGCAGGGCCGAGCCGGACCTCGAGCTGGCTCCGGCAGAGGCCCCCGTGGATGGGGCCCGAGCAGCCGGGGCCGGAGAGGCTCGCGCCGCGCCTCGCCGAAGCATCGGCGCTGCATCGCCGATGCCGCGGCGAGGCACCGACGGCGCGGGCGATGCAGCGGCGCCGTCGGCGTGGAGGGCATCGGGCTCCACATCGAGCCGCATCGGCGATGCATCGGCGATGCATCGGCGATGCATCGGCGATGCGGCGCGGTCCTCCGACCCGTCTGCTTGGACCCCACCTGGGATAGACCAGCGCGTTCCACCACTCGCAAAGCAACTTCTCGCAAATGGCCCGGATCCCCCGCGGAGGATCCACGAGGGATAACAGCCAAGCGGACATGTGCTTTCCGGACTTTTGCGAGTAGGCATTTTGCGAGCAGTGGAACGCGCCTGGCGACGGGAGGCTCCGGCTCTGGCGGGACGGGCGGGGAGGGCGGCGCCCAGGCGCCCGCCGCCAGGCCAGCAGCGCCGCAGGCGACGGACGGCACCGCGCCGCGGCTGGCGGCGCGCGGCGACGGGGCTGGCCCGTGGGGACGACGAGGGGTCGGTGGCAACCCATAGGAGCCTCCCACACCGTCTTGTCGGCTCGTGCGAATCGACGCTCGTCGACGCTCGTCGGCCCTTACCGGCGTCAAGTCGACGCCAGGCGACGCTAAATCGGAGCTATCTCGTCGACTACCAGATGCTGATCGACGCTAGTCGACGCCAAACATGAAATTAAAAAGGTATACCAGGCTCCCATGTTTTGCTACTGAACGAGGGGTCGGTTACACGCAAGAGTGACCCTGGGCAGGAGTGACCTTTGGTGCGCGGCTTTCGGGGGCCGCGGGGGTACCAGATTCAAGCGCGCCGGCCAGTGCCGAGGCCACCCCTGTGGGCCATCACCAAAGGTCACTCCGACGAAAGGTCACTCTTACGCGTAGCCGAGAAGGGGGAGTGGACCCTGAGATCCCTCGCCGGGCCACGGGATCGTCAAAGAATGGGTCGAACCACACCCTGCTCCGCAGAACTGGGCCTAGTGAAGGGGAGGGCGGCGGGCTGCCAGCAGACAGGCAGGATCGGCTGGCATCGAATCGCGGAATCGGATCGGAACAAACATCAAATCGGGGTGCATCGGGAGCCGAAATCGAACCGAGTCGACTGCCTCTGGATACGCAACTATGCCATGCAAGCATCGAGCCGCATCGGATCGCTGGGATATCGAAACCGACTCGGATCGGGATGTCCGGAACTGACATCGAATCGGATCGAAGAGGACCCCGTACAGGCGGGCCCGCCAGAAGCAGCGCGGCAGGAGAGTGGCAACGGGCTGCCAGCGCTGTCGGGGGCGACTGTCGGGGACATTTTCAGCGGCAAGACGGCCAGAAGAGCCAAGAGCGGCATGAGCAAGAACTTTCGGAGGCCCGCGCGAACTTCGTTGGGTCGGCGCTCTTCTCCTCTTCCCCTCACCCAGCGGCCCTATCGAGCCCCAAGCCCACATCGCCCGGAAGCACGCTGTCAAAGCACTGGCGGAGCGGGCAGCACTGAAGACTGCATGCCCCGGGGCAGAGCTACGCTCCCGGCGCTGGGAGCGGAGCTCCTGGCACCAGTTTCTGGCCCCGCCCCGGGCGCCAGTGGAGAGGCTCCTGGCGCCGACCCGAGAAATCCGCACGGATCTCCAAAATCTGATTCGGCGGCGAGCGAGGGAGGGAGGGAAGCGAGAAGGAGAAGGCCTTCTCAGAAGGCTCGGAAGTTCCCTAGCCTTCTGAAAAGTTTTTCTCAGACTTCCCCGAAGACACCTACAACCTCTCAGAAGGCGCGAGGACTTCTGAGAAGCCCAGCCGCCTCCTGAGAAGGCCTGATCCTTCTCACTTCCCCCCCTCGCTCGCCGCCGACTTATGCCTATGCGTTTCTGGGTTCTCCGAGGTGAAACGACAGCAGAAGGAAGACAGACTCGAGCAGAACTAGCTCGGGAATTCTGAGAGCGGGTCTGGAGCGTGCATCGGGTGCCACGGCTGCTGCAGAGCGGTCTGGGACGCTGCGGGAGCGTCTTGGAATTTGTTCTGGAAGGACGTATCCTCTTCTCGGGCCCAGCTGGAGAAGGCAGAGGTCTTCTCTCAAGGGCCCGGGGGGCGTCCAAGAAGCCTTCCGGGAGACCGGGCGGGCTGCTGAAGAGCCCCCTCACCCCCCCAACCTCCTCAGGAGGCCCCCCCCCCTCCCCCGCTCGCACCACCCCTCTGTGTGCGCGGCGCCGCCGGTCCTTGCAGACGATCACCAGCCGGAACGCCTCCTGCGGGTCGAACTCTGCGTTCACGCACGCGACCCTCTCGGGCGCGTGCGCCTTCGTGCGGTCCTGGAACGTAGGGGCCTCCACGTTCGTCATGGCCTCGTACTGCACGCGGGGCGCGAACTTGTCGGCCGCCTTCAGGAGCGGCGCGTACGTCTCCTCGAGGAAGACAGCCTCCGCGCAGAAGGCACCTGCCCACCACAACCACCACCACCCCCATGCCTGGCCAGAGCCTCCCTGGGCCCTGGGATGGTTGGTAGACCCCCCTGGCCATGGCCAGGAGAACACACGCACCATCCCAGGGCCCAGGAAGGCCCTGGGCAGTCATGGTGGTGGCGCAGAGGTGCCTTCTGCGGAGCCTCTGGGTCGAGCGCTTCCTTCGGAAAGGTGCTCGGGTCGAAGATGGCCGCGGCATCGTAGTCCACCAGGGAGTCGAAGTCGAGCACCAGCCAGCCGCCGTTGTGCATGCTTTGCAGCAGGCCCACTCTCAGACTCTCCGGCTCCAGCTCCCCCTTCCGCATGCAGCTGAGCACGCGGGCTCGGTACTTCAAGAACATCAGCGCGTTGCCAGTTGGGTCCACCAGGCAGGGGTACCGACCCTCTGTGTACACGGCATCGTTGATGAAGCTGGGGAGGTCCGAGAAGGGCACCTCGCGCTGGGGCTTCGGGACTGGGGGAGGAAGGAGGAGGAAGAGGGGCGGCGGAGGGCAAGGGAGGGAAGGAAGGAGGGGAGGGACAAGCCAGGTGCGCTCTCGCCATCTCTGACATCGTGCCCCTCCGACCCGTCCCTGCCCACTGCGCTGACTCGTCTGCATCCGCGGGCGCGGGGGAAGGCATGAGGCAGGAGAGGGGCGAGCTGCGTACGCTCGCGGCCTCTCTGACAACCTACCCCTCTCCCACTGCGCTGATGTTTCTCTGCCCGCCCACGGGCGTCATAGCGGACCTGGAACCCGCCAACAAAACAGCATCGTACGATGCGCAATCAGAAGAGGGGGAGCTGTGTACCTTGGCAGAGGAGGTGACGGAGGAGCAGGAGGGAAGAGTAGGAGGAAGAGGAAGGAGGAGGACGAGGATGAGGAACAGCAGGAGCAGGAGCAGGAGCGGAAGGAGCGGGAAGAGCAGTAGGGCCAGGAGAAGGCGGAGGAGGGGAAGGGAGCAGGGCGACGACGACGACGACGACGACGACGACGACGACGACGACGACGACGAGGAAAGACCAGGATACAGAAGAGAGGCCCGCGCTGGGGCGAGAGCGCCGCTTGGAACGACGGGAGCAGAGCGCCGATCCCAAACCGAGGCCCACGCGGCAGCGGGAGCACCGCTTCGAGACAGCAGGACCGCTCCCAGTCGAGGGGACCGGGCGGAGCATCAAACAATTGGGACCCCGTGCGTCAAACAAAATACACACGGAGAGGGCGGGGCACTGCTAGGAGGCAGGCGGGGGTGCAGAGAGGCGAGCAGATTCGTGATGAGCAACCGTGGAGCAGGAAGGCTCACCTGGAACACGAGCGGTCGTTATCATAGGTTTGTTCATGTTGAACAACCGTGGAGCAGGAAGGCTCGCCTGGAACCCCAACGGTCTTTTTCGTAGGTTTGGGGGTCGCATGGGGGGGGCTGGGCCCCCCAGGCCATCCAGAGACACCCTTCAATCGTCAAACACAAACATGACCACATGAAAAGGTCCTTCACGACACCATCGAGGGGGAGAGGCAACGTCGAAGACGACCACGACGACGTCAAAGCTCCACCCGTGAAAGCGACCCCTGGACCGCTCAGGTCCTGCTGCTTCCACCAAGCTGCAAGCCCGGGATGAGAACGGAAAGCATGGGGTACGATGCCCAACAGCAGTGCCCGTTCGTGTACTCAGAGCAAGAGCTGCTGTCCCTGAGAGCCATTATGACAAAAGTTCTTGCCATGTTGACAACAATGATTGGCCAAGTGGGCAGATGGTGCTGTCAAATGGACACGGCCTGCTGTCAAAATGACCAGGTTTGTTGTCCGATGAGCCACGACGGCCAGCCATCCTTGTTCCACGTGAACGAGCACTGCTGTCAAGCATCGCTAATGGGGAAGAAAGCGTGTGGACCATAACCAAGACTGAACACGGAACGAAGCGCTGATCTTGATCACTGTCTATTTTGGTCAGCGTCAATGTGCGGATCGTCCTCGCGAATCGGCGACGGCCAGCATGGACTATGACCAAGATGGGCGTCGACAAGATCCCACGACATCTTGGTCATGGTCAGCGCGTTTCTTCCCTCAAGTCGCACAGTCAACCCGTATAATGGGGACGCACGATGAGGATGCAAGGGCCTAGGAAGGCCATGTCGACACTTTGCGAGCGGGGTGCAGCTAGCGAAAGCGGCCAAGGGTGTGCCGAAAGGGAAGGATGCAAAGGTACCCTGGAAACTCGGTCATCCTTACTATGAAGGTTGACTGTATCCGTCTTTTCCGTCACCATTCCGAGCGCGCAGCACCCGGCCCGCCACCTCCGCCGTCGCCTGCCCCCGCGCGCTCGCGTTTAGGCCGGCCTCGCGCCGGTGCTCCAGGCAACGCGGCGACGAGGAGACATGCGAGGACCCGACGACGACGGCCACGACGACCACGGCGAAGACGACGACGACGACTACGACGACGACGACGACAACGACAACGACGACGACGACCGAGACGGCGACGACGACGACGACGACGACGACGACGACGACGACGACGACGACGACGACGACGGCGGCGGCGGCGGCGGCGGCGACCACGACGTTCACGACGACCACGACGACCACGAGCGCGAGGAAGACAACAACGACGGCGGCGGCGGCGACGACGTAGGCTACGACGACCACGGTGGCGGCGACGCCAGCACCGCCGCCGTCGCGATAGTCGGACGCTTTTCTCTTCTGCTCCTCTCCCATCCGCCCTCCTCACGATCCTCCCCCCTGCCCCCCCCTCTCCGCACTCCTCTGGGAGGCGCCCAGACGGCCCCCGAAACCCACCGAAGACATCTGAGAGACCGCGGCGGCAGCGGCAGAGTGCCCCTAGGCAAAGTGACCTGTGGTGCGCAGCTCGCCGATCGCTGCATGCGGTGCGCCTGGGCGCGGCCCTCCTGCGCCCCCCAAGCACGCCGCGCACCAAAGGGGGTCACTCTCCCGTGTGCAGCCGCCCCTCGCGCCGCTCACTCGCCGACTCTCGGCGGTTGGGCCATTCCCGCCTCCTCCTCCTCCGCGGCCGCCCTCTTCTCGGGCGCCTCCTCCTCCTCCTCCTCCTCCTCCTCCTCCTCTTCCTCCTCCTCCTCCTCTTCCTCCTCTTACGCCTCATCCTCCTCATCCTCCTCCTCCTCCTCCTCCTCCTCCTCCTCCTCCTCCTCCTCCTCCTCCTCTTCCGCCTCCTCTTCCTCCTCCTCCTCCTCCTCCTCCTCCTCCTCCTCCTCCTCCTCCTCCTCCTCCTCCTCCTCCTCCTCCTCCTCCTCCTCCTCCTCCTCCTCCTCCTCCATTCCGTCGCCATATAGATAACTCCTCCCTGTCGCACCCCCAGACCAGTTTTTAGGGCGGGCTGGGCGTTTCGCCTGAGACGTCCTCACCATGTATGATTGTGAAACTTACGAAGTGGCAACAGCTTCACATATGGAGGGCGGGTGGTTTTCAAAATGCCGCGCACTTCCGTTTTTTGAATTGCAAGAATTTTGACGGATTGAGAACGGGTGGTTTTCAAAATGTGGCTCTCGCCTTAGCGCCGCGCACATTCATTTAAACAAGTTGCAAGAGTTTCACGGGTTGAGGGCGGGTGGTTTTCAAATGTGGTTTTCGCCTTAGCGCCCTGCACATTCGTGTGCAAGAGCTTCACGGATTGAGGGCGGGAGGTTTTCAAAATGTGGCCCTCGCCTTAGCGCCACGCACATTCGTTTAAAAATATGCCAGAGTTTCACGGATTCCCATGATCAACGTTCCAGAAATGGCGTTTTGTAGGGATTCAGGAATTTTCGGGTGCAACAATTATTTTGACTCGCGGTGTTGAAATCCAAAAAATGGCGTTATGTCACGACTCTGGATCGCCAAAACGCAACAATCAGGTTGATACGTGGCGCTGGAATCCCGAGAACAATGTTTGGGCATGCTTCAGGATCTTCAAACGGTTGTCTTCCATGGAGGCAGTTCCCTCAATTGAAATGAACCGTTGTAAGGGGCCTATGGAGAGGGGGCTTGGAGGGAGAGCTGACTCCAACATCGTTGATGACTCTTGGGTTTACACGGGTCCTCCTCCTCCTCCTCCTCCTCCTCCTCCCCTGTCTCCTCCTCCTCCTCCTCCTCCTCCTCCTCCTCCGCCTCCTCCTCCTCCTCCTCCTCCTCTTCCTCCTCCTCCTCCTCCTCCTCCTCCTCCTCCTCCCCTTACTCCCATCCCCAGCTCATCCTCCTCCTCCCCTTCCTCCTCCTCCTTCTCCTCCTCCTCCTCCTCCTCCTCGTCCTCCTTCTCCGCGGCCGCCCTCTTCTTTTCCAAGTGTTCTCTGGCTCGCTCCCGCGCTCTCTCCGGGCACGCCCCACCCCCGCGCCCACGTCCGCCGGCTCCGCCGATGAAAAAATGGCCGATCCTCCTCCCCCCCCTCCAATAGGCTGTCGGGGTCGACTACCCACCAAGCCACCCCAACCCGACCCGAAGTCGCCGTTGGGCCACCCAATCTCCAGAGGGGGAGACGGTCGGGCACGTCGAGAACGCACGGTGGAATCCGCACACACACACACACACACACACCAGAGAAACCTGGGGTCATGCTGGTCCCATCGTGCTTACAGACCACATCCCAGAACGAATTACGAGCACCCAGAAGAATATCGAAACGGTGTATGCCCGACACGCTAACGAAGTGTCGAACGAATACGTACCGCCTCCCAGGGCCCGACAAGTGAAAACCCTACAGTTTCGGTGTTGTCCTGTTGTCCTGTTATCCTGGTGCTCGAACGTCTTTCTGGTGATCAAGGCTACACTGGATTGAAACATCATAAACCTGTCGGGGTCTGGGACCTTCGGGCTGGGTACTCCCCCCCCGCCGATAGCCGCTGGCGGCGGCACGGCGGCGGCGGGCGGCGGCGCGGCCTTGCGCCGGGGCTCCTCCTGCCCTTCGGCGGAGGCGGCCATCGCCCCCGCCCCCCCCCCCCCTGGCGCGACCGGTCGCGCCCGCCTGCGCGGCGGGAGCCGCCCGAGGGGTGGCGGCTCCTGGCACGGCGGCGGCGGCGGCGGCAGCTGCGGCGACGACGACGACGACGAGGCCTGAGGGCCGAGGAGCAGGAGGAGAACCAGAGCAAGCTCAGGATGTATTCACGATACTGCAACGCACTCTCCCGCCCCAAAGTCTCCTCCTCCTAAGTCCCCGCAGGTGAACCTTGACGCTGCGGGAAGCGCTTCCCTTGACATACGAATGCCCCGTGGGCCTTCCATGCACGCGAGACCCCGTGTGAGAAGGGACCCGCCTTTCGTCTGCCCCAACTAAAAGAAAAACGCAGAGGACGGGCCAAAAACACTCAAGGAAGCATCCAGCGACAGCTCTGGTTTGAAAAAGGTATGAACTCCATCCGTGAAAGTGTTGTACCCATTGAATGTTCGTGTCGCAAAAAGATGAGAAGTCTAAACGAGAGCCCCTTGTTAAAAGGAAGACGCCAACCAACCGACTAACTGTTGAAAAAGTTGATATTTCGGTCATAAGACTAAAGGAAGTCTGAAGCGCCAGCCCCATTTTGAAAACGCACCGCTCTCCATCCATGGAACGCAAG